GGATGATAAAATGAGATGGTGAACGTGAGCTAGCCTAAGGCTACTCGAAACGATGATCGACATTGCCCATCGTGATTTGAACTCATCATAATCTATATATAGAAAAATTATATTGTTTTGAAATTTTAAACCATTGTTTTAGCTATCTGTAGAAGAGACGGCTATTAAGTTGCCTAAAAATCAACATAACAAACTAGTTTGATTCATATTCTAGAAAACTCTAAGTTATGTGAAAATTTTACATATACATTTGATGACGTGTTGAACAAGATGTATGGTGTCAATCATGAATTTGATGAGCCCATTAGTCTAGCTCACAATAAGATTTGAGCTCAAATATATATATATATAGAGAGAGAGAGAGAGAGAAATATGGGTATGCTTGGTATCAAGCACAAATTTTGTGCTTGGTAGTGAGGAAGCATAACCAAGGTTTTAAATGTCGGTTATCGGGGATTTATCGGACGGTTAAAATCCTTATCTGATAGCGAAAATCGGGGATAAGTAGTATTTATCGGAGTAATATACTAGCAAATAATAAACAAACATAAGCTTGAAAAAAATATAATGTTAGTCAAAATGGAATAATAAACAAGCAAATAATAAGATAACATCAAGAATGAAAAACCATCTACGCATCTACATAATTATTAAATAATAAACAAGCAAATAATAAGATAACATCAAGAATGAAAAACCATCTACGCATCTACATAATTATTATTTAATCACGAGATTCATAAACTAACTTACTAAGTTGATATTTAGTAGTTATGAGCCATTATCAATATCCATAAACAAACATAAACTAATCACCAATCAATCGCGTTCCAAAAGCAACAAATAGTTCATAATTTGTAAACATTCAAAGAACAAATCCAAAAGAAAGTAAAAACTCCCAAATCCTACTTATCGGCCGATAAAGCCGATATTTAGAGCCTACTTATCAGCCGATAAGTGCCTTTATCGTTGATAAACCTCAAAAAACGATAACCGATTAAAAATCCTACTTATCCTAACGGAAAGCTCCCAAATCTGATAACTCGACGATAATATCGGATTATCGGCCGATATTTAAAACCATGAACATAACCCACTCCACTCATTCAAATAGGGGACCACATTCACATGGGTTGAGAAGTGCATGGGGATATGCAACCATTTGAATGAGTGGAGTGGATTATGTAACAAAAAGTTACAAATTTGAAAGACCTTCTCAATTAAGAGTAGTCCTCCTCTCCAAAAGGAGTTACAAAAATTTTCACCACTTTAAATATTTCTTCTCTTTGTTGGATGATGAAGATGGAGATGAAGAATTATTTAGAGGTTTGCATTTCTTTTCTTTTTCTCTTTTATTTTTTATTGCTTATTAGTTTAGATTTATTTCTATGCTTGTAGTTAGATTTTATTTTCTTGTTAAATAGCCAAGAGGCTAGAACCTTCTTGCCTTAGATTTATTTCATGCTTATAGAGTAGATTTATTTTCTTGTATTTAATTCTTGTAAATTTTTTTTATAATTTAGATTTTGCAATTTATTTTGTAGTTAGATTTTAATTTCTTGCACTATTCACCTTGAGGCTAGAACCCTCTCGGGTTTAGTTTTCCTTTTTGTTCCCTCTAGGGAATCACCCTTTTCTAAGAAGTGGGTTCAATTTTAGATTACCCATATCTATAATTGAATCCACCATCTTTAATTTCTTGCATTTTCTTTTATTCTTGAATTTTGTTCTTCATTCTTGATTTTTTTTTATTTGTTTCTTGATTTTATTCATTTTTCCTTCTCACCTTATTGATCATACTCATTCTTTTTTTTAATTCCACTCTCACTTACACTTTGCACCTATTCACACACCATTTTTACTCTCTCAATCTCTTCACAATCATATTCACTCATCAATCTTATTTGTCACGCACACAACATAAGAACCGATTTTATATTTTCTCCTACAAAACACCTTCCTCGTGGGATCGATATCTTAAATACTACAACTTGACACGGTTGTGCACTTGCAACCTTTTTGGTACATAATTATACCGCATCAAGTTTGTAAAATGAGATCTCAAAGATTTGTATTGATTGATTGTTTATTACAAATAGAAATCGCTTTTACACAGAAACAGAGAGAATTGATTCAATCTCTCTTTGTTTAACATGGGTTCTTTAGGGCGATAAGATACTTTTCTTGATGCTCGTGTTGAGTTTGCTTCCCTTTGACAATTCGAATAAGATTGCAAACGAACAAATTTCAGCGCATGGTAGAAGTTTGATTAGAAGAGCTTGATCACCCGAGCTTGAATACCAAAGCCGAATGCACAAGAATGCAAGAGTTCGGTTCTTTTGAATCTCCCTCAAAAGTTCCGTAGCCAAAAAGTCAAGACTTTGTTTAACATGGGTTCTTTAGGGCGATAAGATACTTTTCTTGATGCTCGTGTTGAGTTTGCTTCCCTTTGACAATTCGAATAAGATTGCAAACGAACAAATTTCAGCGCATGGTAGAAGTTTGATTAGAAGAGCTTGATCACCCGAGCTTGAATACCAAAGCCGAATGCACAAGAATGCAAGAGTACGGTTCTTTTGAATCTCCCTCAAAAGTTCCACAGCCAAAAAGTTAAAAGCTCCCCTTTTCTTGTAGCCATCAGTGGCTTTTTATAGCTGAGAAAGATCATAACTACCCCCTTAGAATGTGGGAAGTGGGGGTAACCACTCCCACAATTCAAGTGGTTTTTAACCGCTCAGGGGAGCTTGCGGGCGAGGTTGGTGAGCCTAGCGAGCTTGCAGGCGAGGTTGGCAAGCCTGGCGAGCTTGCAGGTGAACTTGAACTTCATAAATTAAGCATTCAGGTGAGCTTAACTCCTGTAGGCGAGCTTGACTCGGGCGGGCGAGCGAAACATTCAGGCGAGCTTGCAGGCAAGCTAGGCGAACAAGTGAGGTTGATAAGCGAACCCCTTAAACATTCAGGCGAGCTTAAACCCTGTTGGCGAACTAAGCATTCAGGCGAGTTTAGCTAACTTGCGATCTGGCGAACTAAGCATTTAGACGAGCTTAGTTCTTTCTAGGCGAAGTCCAATGCTTAGGCAAACTTCGCTTCGCCTGCGAAGTCAAGCATTCAAGCGAGCTTAACTTAGCTTATTTGATGCAGGCGACTAAGCCATATGAGCTTTGTTCTTGCGAGCTTGGATGCTCAGGCAAAGTCCAACGTCCAGGAATATAACTTGCTGCGAAAAACGAATCATAACTTTCAAACCATAAGTCGGAATTAGACGAATTATATATAAAAATTGACTATCTCGACGAGACGGGGCCGACCAAACCTACCGAAGTTCGGTTTGTCGCCGTCTGTTTCGCTAAATTCCCTCCGGTTTGAGAAATATCAGTGTTCTTTATCCGTTTTTTACTATTTTTGATAATATTCTTGCAGGCGAACTTCTGAATTTCTCTGTTAGGGATAAAGACAATTTTATTTGCCTACAAAACCCCCTTCAAAGTTTTCAGACCTGAATCAGGTTGCATGGGGTCTGGAATACTTTGAATAAAAAATAATCATCGTTCATTGGTTTAGGCAAAGTAGGGCACCTTACTGGCGAA